GAAATATTTGCAATCGAAGGAGGTGGAGGTCGTCTGGTTTCAGAGGTAAAAATTTGCGAGAAAATGGCCGCCAAAGTTGGACGACTTCCAAAGCTTGAGAGTTTTTAGAAAGGGCAAATTTACATTTTGTGCGTTAAATCGATATATTTCAGTAAAATTCACACAGAAATGTGTCTTAGATGGACCCTAAAGGTGTTGAGACGAAGAAAAAAAAAATAAAAAAATAGCCAAACATAGAGGAATATGCAAGGATCTTCGATTTCATTATTTTGACGAGCGCGGGATTTGACCACCATGCCTCACATTTAGTTAGTGCTGGGGAAAAGGAAGACACACAGACAGAAAAAATTGAGGGAAAGTAAAGAAGTAGGACCTACCAGGGACACCCTCTAACCACACACACAGACAGAAACAATTGAGGGAAAGTATACAACTAAGACCTACCAGGAACACCCTCTAACCACACGCAGCGGCAGTGTTGTTGAACAACAGGGTGTCCAGCGGTCGTGGGGTGTGGGGGGGGGAGGGGAGTTATTTGTTGGGGGTTATTTTGTTAATATATAAATATATTTTTTTCTGGTAAGGGTTTTACGGCACTCGCAACTACAGCTTAAGGTCATATGAGCGCGCGGGACACAAAACAATTTCAGTTGTTAGGAAATTTTGAATTTTGCCCAGGTGGAGACCAAAGCCTACTCTTATATATCGATTATGGACCACCAAGGGATCTTTAACCAGCGCAACTTGCGAACGGGATCTCCAAAATTTTTCCTCCATGTCTGAGAGGGCTAGGTGTAGATCTTTCCTTCCATAAGATCAGGGGTGTGGCTGAAAGACAGCAGTAAGAAGTCAGAGTTTTCCAACACCTACCACACAATTAGGCCATATATATGTGCCGAAGATTAGATAGGTCGCTACGCTAGAATGACAAAGTTTTATCTGCTCAGTACCTAGGTTTGAGACATTTGACGTAAAAAATAATGAGTTTCACATTAGTGCTGGGCGGCTAGGTTCCCGATTATTGAAAGCTAGGAATCGTAGGAATCGACTCCGAACCCAATTACTTACTTTCTAATGATGTGATTTCTTCCGGTGGTTACCTTGTTGGCACCTAACATCTTCAGGATTTAGGATAACCTTGATTTCGGAGCGCTGCGAAGCATCAACTTTTATTTCACAAAAATAAATTCTTAAAAAAAAGAGAAGATTTTGATGATTAGTCGGAACTTTTCTTCGTACCATTTATCGTGGGAATCGGTTAAGGAATCGATTCTTCGCCCAGCTCTAAATTTCACTTGTCAAGTTTTTAAAAATGCAATTCTTCGAAAGTCTTGATAACGACTCTTAATATTACGATTTTGATAGAGCAGATAGAACTGTTGGTTCCTGACCTCATGGTCTTAGTAACTCAAGATGGCCAAAATTGTCAGATAGAACTTTGTAATTCTGAGGTAGCGACGTGTGTTTTTATGTATAATATGTCATAACATGTGTGGTTAAGTATGCGTATGTGTGTGTGTGTGTGTGTGTGTGTGTATGTGTGTGTGTGTGTTTGTGTGTGTGTGTGTGTTTGTTTGTGTGTGTGTGTTCGTGTGTGTAAGTGTGTGTGTGTGTTTGTGTATTTGTGTGTTTGTGTGTATTTAGGTGAGCACACAGGTATCCAGCAACTGGAAAAACTAGGAAGAAGAAAAACTAGAAAGAAAAAGAAAGAAGGAAGGAAGGAAGGAAGGAAGGAAGGAAGGAAAGAAAGAAAGAAAGAAAGAAAGAAAGAAAGAAAAAAAGAAAGAAAGAAAGAAAGAAAGAAAGAAAAAAAGAAAGAAAGAAAGAAAGAAAGAAGAAGAAGCAACAATACGTACTTAGCCAAGTTTCGCTTTCCTGAAATCTTCCCCGCCAGAAGGCTGCTGTCTTTAGCGGCTGTGCTGTTTTTGTTGTTGCTGTTGCCGTCTTCAGCATCGTGTGCCCCGCCGGGTGCTATGACGTGCAGCCGGCTGTTCCGGGGTTCGATTCTCTGCTCTATCTGTTCGAGAACGAAATAGTTTTCCGGGACTTCGATGGTGAAGTTTTTCTTCTTCAAGCACATTCGCCGTAGAGGGGACTGGGATGCTTTGAAGATGTCCCATGCTCTGTGGGTGCAGACAAACAAACGCGCTGATAGACAAACATATAGAAACACATTTATAGGTATAGACATATACCACACATACACAAACACACACACATACACAAACACAAACACACATACACATACACACTCACAGATAGACACTCACACATGAAAACTCACGCAGATAGACCCACACATATAATACGCATGTTAATATATATTTTTTTTATATATACCGTATATACAAACACACACACTGATAGGTACATATTTATAACACACACACACACACACACACACACACACACACACACACACACACACACACACACACACACACACACACACTGATAGTGACATATAAAAACAACATACACACATACTGATAGACATTCATACATACACAAACACACTGATAGACATTCATATACAAGCTCATACTGAAAGACATACACACACACACACACAAACATACATAAAGATAGACACACACACATACAAACACACACACTGTTAGCCCTACACACATACAAACACACACAAAAAGCTCGACACACAGGAATAAATGTATTTACGGACGGACACCAAGGACAGACAGATAGACAGACTGACAGACATAAAGACGGACAGACAGACATGAAGACAAGACAAACACAACAGACATAAAGATAGACCGACAGACATGAAGACGGACAGACACAACAGATGCCGGTATAAAGACGGACAGACAGACAGACGGACAGACAATGAGTCTCACTTGTCACAAAGCACTTGGTGTACATCCACAATGAGGGCCTCGTCATCTTTGACAGGGGAAGCCCCGCAACAGAAAGGCATGGTCACTTTATCTGTTCGTCGGTCTGCTTGTTAATATTTTGTCTGTCTGTCTGTCTGTCTGTCTGTCTGTCTGTCTGTCTGTCTGTCTGTCTGT